TGGCTACATGTGATTCGTTAAATAGGTCTTCATTGATGTAAAAATTATAATTTTGTTATTCTATTCTTTTAACCGCTAGATCATAATTCACCATTAGATCTGAATCGTTTAATCGTGTGACCATTGGATCACCTCAAAACATATACATACCATTCGATCGGGATCTCACTCGTGGACTGTTGGATTATCATCATTTTTTTTACATATTTGCACACTGTTGAATCTAAATATCGCAATTTCACTATTGGATTTGCCCAAAATACTCAGGATTGTCCGATCTGCTTACCATGGGTGTCAATATGGATGACCACATGTGTGGGTCAATGCCATGCGACTCTCTTTGATTTGGGGGGCTACCATGTCACCAGGCCAAGTGGCCCATTTTTTAAAAATTATAAAATTTTGAGTTTTTGTTTTATATTTTAGCCCCTAAATTAATTTTTAAATTTATAAAAACCACTCAATAAATTTAATTTTATTCAATTTAGTCCATAATTTTATTTTTTGCATCTTTAGAGTTAAATTTTAAAATTTTTTTTTATTTTACACATAATTTAATTTATATATAAATCAATTAATTGAATTTAAATCTATAAATTAACACTTACAATTTACACATCGTGTTACGCTTTTAAGTCAATTTCATGCTAATTTTTCTGAGTTCATCATTTGACACGTAGAAATACAAATACATTATAAGTAAAATTGCATTAACTATCGACAAAATATATAGAATGTAATTATAATTTTATATTAAGTAATTAAAATTTAGAATTAAATAGTAATAAAGTAAAATTCAATAGAACAAAATAGAATGTGTTCCTATTGACGCCGAACGGGCTTAAAGGAATTAGGTCTTCGTCCTTGTGTAGGCTATTAAGTTGGGCTTAATTAGAAATTAGAAATATATTTTTTTTTAAAAGAATCTGCCAAAAATATAAAGGCTACATAATATGCTGCTTTTAGTTCAGATTTTTTACTTTCTTCGGCCTATAAAATATTAAAAATATGATATGTTTGTCGATGTAGCCTCCAAAAATTAATAAATTTTACCTACTCTGTAATTTTAAGTGAAATATAAAAATATTAGTTATTAAACCGTCATATTAATTATAATTTTCCTATTATTTGTTATAAAAAAAAGTATAATAATAAACTACTTTTGTATTTTTCCCTTAGAATGTAATTATTTTCCAATAAACTTTCACACCATAAAGTCAAACTCATTCCAGTGATTTCAACCATATATTTTTTCATAAATTCAACTACTGCATTTAAATTTTTTTCATAAAATATTAACTATGAAATTAAATCAAATTATCGAAAATAAAATAAATACATTATTTCCAATTAAATTATTTTTTAATTTTTTAGTAAATAAATAATATTAAATTAAATTTAAATTTACAATCAATTTTTTTGTCTTCCATATTAACATATGAAAATAGTTTAAGATTTTACAAGATAATATTTTTCCCCTAGAAATTAAAAAAAAAAAAAAAATTACAGAATTACTCATGTTCCTGAGGGTTGCCAGCACAGCTAATTCTCACGTTCCTATTGGTCACTGTACGTCGATAAACCCGTAAACGGAACATCATTAATGCATTCCCTTTATCCATTTTAACTCGTTACTCGCGCAGAGAAGGTGCTTAACACGCGCCAAAATTTTAATAAAGAAAATTTTTAAAACGTTACTTGTGCATATATTCACGCTCTTTCCTTGCGCGTTATTATTATATTCTGTAACATATCAACCCTCCTTCACCGTTCAAGAAAGTCGACGCGTCCAAAAGAAAGTCCGCGTAGGACCCGACGAAATCAGAAGCCGTGAATATTCAAATGGTGTAATAATATCAGTTTCTCGCTGTAGGGGTTTAACGAGATTCCGACAAACTTCTGTTGATCTTTTGTTTTTCGAAGTTTTAATCGGAGTTTTGGATTAGGAAGCATTGGTGCTGGAATTTGATTTGAAGCTTTTCTATGGTGAGGTGTGAGGTGGGGAAGGAGAAGAGGAAGATGGAGGAGGAGAGAAAAGGATGCCGATTGGGGTGGCCAGTTGGAGCTCTGATCGCCGTGTTAATGGCGACGGCATTCGCCTCGACAAGGACTGGTTCTAATGTTGCTATCTTCTTTAATAATCACAAATCTTGTCACTGTGCTTCACAGGTATTCTCTCTGGCTTTGTACATTTCTCACTCAACTTACTATTTTTTTCGCATTGTGCATGTGTGCTTATCGTGGATTAGTGACTGAATTGTGTGCTGTTTCATTTTTGGTAGATCCATTTTCGCGACACTGTTTTTGATTTTGAAGATTTTCTCTCTCTTCGTGTGCTATTCTGTTTAATGAGAATTTTTAGAAGGAAATATCTGAGATGGAATAATTGAATGCCGTCCATGTGCAGAATAAAATTTATTCTGTTTACTGTGAAGACGACTGTTACTGATATATCTTTGATTCAATTTATAATGTTTTTGTTTTTTTAATCCCTTTTCGAAGTTTTTACTTAGAAAAATGTCCTTTGCAGGAACAAGAAAAATATAAGGGCATGGTTGAGGACTGTTGTTGTGATTATGAGACCGTAGATAGTCTTAATGGAGAGGTGTTGCATCCTTTGCTTCAAGAACTGGTCACAACCCCTTTTTTCCGGTATTTTAAGGTCTGTACGACCTGAGATCTTATCTGAATGACCATAATTTACTGTGTTATTTCCCTTTTCCTTAGGTAGTTATATTGATGCATTTGAAAGAAGCGTAGTTCTCATGCATGAATTACTATGATTGATTGTTTGTAAGATATTCATTTTGAGATGTCTCAAGTGGTTTCTTTTTGGATTTGTGCATTCGTCATTGTTCTCTATATGTAGGAACCATACACAAGCTGATGGCTGGCATTACCTACCTCTATTTGCTTGTTTGAATTTGATAGGAGTAACATCATACTTTTCATCTTTTGGTTCCTTACTGAATTGTGGAAGATCAGATGATCAATGAACTATTAATGGGACAAGATTAATAATTTGAACTGTTATTCTGCTTGCAAGATAAGGTCATTTATTTTGTTTATAAAATTAAGAATCTGGAAATAGATGTAAAAAACTTATTTACAAGTGTAACAAGATCCCTTAACAGAAACGGGCTACCTCAGAGATGACAATGTAGTGACACAAGAAAAGGAAAAAGTGGAAGAGCACAGCATGGACAATTTAAAGGGATTATAAAAGTAAAATTGAGCTCATCCAATATTCAAAAGATTAGAAATATCTAGGTTCCAGTCAAGATTATCCTTGGGGTTTCCTCCCTAAGGATGAAGTACCTTGGGTGGGTTTTTCCACATTGAACTTATTTAAAAAAAAAGCGTGGCCTGGTATTTAATGCTAAAAACTTTGAAGCATCTAAGGAATTGTTCTAGTATGATGATTAGTTCTCTGCCTTGTAGTCTTTATCTGAAACAAAAATGTAATTCATAATTCCTTCTCAACATTGTACTCTAAGAACGCTATAATCACTGGTTTTTATCTTCTCTTTTCCTTTGTAATCTTATATGTTTCTTTCTATTTCTATGAGTAGGTTAAATTGTGGTGTGACTGCCCATTCTGGCCTGATGATGGCATGTGCCGCTTGCGTGATTGCAGTGTCTGCGAATGCCCAGAAAATGAATTTCCTGAGCCTTTTAAGAAGCCATTTGGTCGTGGTCTTTCATCAGACAACCTATTTTGTCAAGAGGGAAAGCCACAGGCCACTGTTGACCGCACACTAGATAATAGAGTGTTCAAAGGATGGATAGAAACAGATAATCCATGGACACATGATGACGAGACTGATAATGGTATTTATTGCTACTTTTGTAAATTCATGCTCTATATTTTCTGGAGACTCGAAGATTTGACTTTGAACTAGAACCTTAAGCTTCAGATTTTTATGGGTGTATTTTAGTTTTGAATAATGCTGTATATTAATTTTTTTTTTCTCAAAAAGACCAAAATCTTTCAAATATAATCATATATTTGCTTTTCCGTTAGTCAAGCTTTCCAAAAACTTCTTCAAGTAAGGTTTGGGAAAATTAGAGACATTAATATTGCTTGTGTTAAGGGAATCCTGAATTTTGTTATAGCCAGTATCTATTTTCATTTTCTTATTAGCTCTTTCTTAAAATGGCTTACTGGAAAAGAGTAATTGTCCTTTTCAAATTGATAAATAGTTTTTTTAAGGAGAAATATGTGATTCTAACAATGGACTTTTATCTGCAGGGGAAATGACTTATGTAAATCTTCAATTAAATCCAGAACGCTATACTGGCTATTCTGGCCCATCAGCTCGAAGGATATGGGATGCTGTATATTCGGAAAATTGTCCAAAATGTGAGTTGATCCTTCTGGATTTCATCTTTGTGGACTTGACTAATTGAATATTCTAGAAATTATACATGACAGAAGCTTTAATGCCCTATTTGTAAAGACTATTTAGATTGGTTTAGAGTATTAGTATTATATGGATGGAGCAAAGCTGAAGCCGTCACAGGTAAGATGACTACAAGTGTGATGAAGTTCTAGGTCCAGGATATAGTTTATGTCTTATGGCTGGAATAGATGATATTGATGGTAGTTGCAGAGAGGCCATTGGTGGTCAACCAATGGAAAGCGAAATTTGTATCCTGGTTAGAAAAATCATAATCATTATTTTTGTACTCTATCATGTGTATGTTCTAGGTTTTTTCAATTTAACCATAGAGGGTGTGGTACTTGGTAGAATAAATATATAGAAAACAACAGAAGTATTATAGGAAGATATAGAAACAGGAAAGTAATTTTGACATAGTACATAATATTTTCACATTGATGAGGTTGAGTAAGCTGCCTATTACTTAGTTCATGGTGTTTTAGGGCTTCAATTGGTATTTCAGGGATTAGAATCTTAGAGAAAGGGCTCTTTGTTCTGAATTTGAGTTGGATTAGTGATTTGTGATATTTGATGGTGATTGTTTTGTTTTGATGGAAAGGGACAAATAAAAAGGTGCTGTAATTTTCTTGAAATGGAAAATCAATGTCAAAGATACTTCGGGAATAGGGATATCATGATGAAATTGATGCTTACTGCTTTTGTTGCTAGTTAGAGTTTGAATAGCATTTAATAATTGGCTTCTTCCCAGTTTACTTTCTTTTCTTTCTTTCTTTCTTTTTGTTTTGAGATCAACTGTTTATGCAGATTCTTCTTGGAGAGACTTTGCTCGGAGAAGAAAGTACTATACAAATTGATTTCTGGTCTTCAACTCGTCAATCTCTGTCCACATAGCTG